GCTATTACTTTGATATTATTGCATGGTGAAACCATGCATTGCATTGATTATTTTGGGGTTTGGGTTGGGGAACTAACGATTGTATAGAGGGTCATGAATTCACTGAGTAATACTAGATTACTCATCCCTCTTTAATTTAAAATTTTACAGGAAACCATAGTAAGTCAGACTAAGGAAGCAGACTGGACACTAGGATTCCGGAGTAGATTTCGGTAGGCTTTTGTAAAATTTATATACAGTTTTCAAACTGTTTGAGTAGTAAGGATCCGCTTATATAGAGTTTAAATAAGTCGAATTTTGTATAATGCGATATGAGTAATAAAGAAAGCTTTTGTTTATAAAACCCTTGTGTTCTAATGATATTAACTTGGTCCGAGTTAACACAACTGTGGCTGGAGTACGGGTTGGCAAACCTTAGGCTCTAGTCGAGAGGGTCGAGCTAACATATCGGGCTAGCCTTACACTTGGATTCGTTCTAAGCAAGGGCCGGCCTATTTGTGAACCTCGACATTGTAGCGCTTTTGGTTTATCTATGTCTAGATCGAATCAGGGGTTGTTACAAGAAAGATGAGAGCTATGGTCATGGCTACATTACATTCAGGGTGGGGAAGCATAAGTACAAGATGGGTTTCAATCAGCTGAATGAGATTTATGGGTTTGACGAGGGAAAGTTAAGGGCCATGGTGATGTCATTTATAAAGAATGAGCCTAGGGATATATGTGAAACAATTTGCAATGGAGAGTACAGAAAAGGGTACAAAAAGAGTTCTAGCATAAGGCATCCAACAATCAGTTATGCTCAAAAAATTGTGGTCAACACAATCTTCTATAGTAAGGAGCAAAAGATGGGCAAAGAGGAGGGGATTGGCTTGTTGATCAATGGCCTCAAGGACAAGGACATCCTTGAAGATACAAGTGGATGACCAATAATGGGAGATCAACTAGGAGTGGGGATGATAGCTATTCTGATGAAGCAGTTTGTTTAATATCAGCAATGGGCTTTCAACACCACTTCCAAGAAGCCAAAGCTAGCCATTGGAGGTCTTATAACCCACATCCTACTTGCTGCAAAAATCAGCCTAAGAGCACCATCCCATCCTATAGCCAACATAGATGTTGCTCACTTAAGCAAATCTGATTACTTGGTCGGCGGATTGAAGGATGACTATGCCTATCAGTTTGTGTTGGGGGATGCTAAGCAAATGATAATTCTCTCAAGGCCTCATCTCACAACATTCAAGAAGAAGGAGAATATTTGGTTTGATGTGGATGAGAGATTTCTGTACAATCCTCTTGCTCATGAGCCATTGTTGAATACAAGTAGGATGAAAGGTATTGCTCTTCCTGAAGTTTAAGAAGATAGTGAAGAAGAAGCTTTCCAATAGAAAGAAGTAGGAAAGGCTGAAGTTGATGAGAGCGCCATGTACCAATTTGAGCCTTATGCAAGGCCTTGCCCTTCTGAAGCTACAATAGTAGGCCACCAACACATCAAGCTCTTACAAGGATGGAATAAGATCCAAGAGAAGACAATCAAGAGCTTAATCTAATCTATAAAGAGTTTGAAAAAGAAGGTCCGCAAGCTCAAGAAGAAGATTGGTGGTGGGGACTCTTCTTATCTAAATAAAAAGGGTAATGCTAAGCAAGGAGGAGGAGTGGGAAACCAAGGAGTGACACTAAGAGAAGAGGCTGGAGATAGATGCCACTCTTTTCATGGAACAAGCACTGCAACAACCTCCATGGAGCCTTCTAGACACTCATCCCCGCGAAGCTGGCCGTAAGAGGAGAAGTAGGAAGAGAAATGCTTCACATTCACCTTTGCAAAGCTCCTTTAACAGCATGGAGAGTTCACCCTCTCACAACCCCCTCAGCCAATTTAATGTACACTCTTTCAACCATTGTATGTACCATTGCATAATTTTATTTTTCTTATTTTCATTGCCATGTTGATTATTGCCTCTTTTTGCATTTTTATTATGCAATGATTTTGTAATTTAAGTGTGGAGAAGAGTGTGTGAGACTGAGAATATTTCTTGCCAATTTTTGCATCTATCATAAGCATTTTATTCAAGCATTTGAGCTAGATAGGCTAGGTTGTAGAACTAGCTCGCCCTCTTGAGTTAGATAGACTAGGTTGTTCTGGTTAATAAGAAGTGGTTTGGGATTTTTATTTTGGGTTTCTATAAGAAGGAAGAAGAATTAAAGCAAGGAAACAAATGAGGAGTCCAACCCTAGTAATCTTGAAAATGGTTAGGCAAATATCAAAAGGCGGCTCAAGCAAGGAAACAAAGAAGTGTGCAGCATAAATTCTAAGGCATTCAAAGGATGAGAAGCACCAGCATTATCAAAGAAGAGCCAGCAACAAAAGAAGCCAACCAGCAAGAAGATGCTTAAAAGAAGAATTGCCTCCAAAATTCTTAAAGAAGAGAAGAAGAGTTGGGATTATTTTTTGGGGTTTAAGAGTTTAAAGAGGGTAGTTTAAGATGGAAGTGATGGGTAGGAGTAAGATTTTAGGATTTCTTATGGGACTTGGGTAGATGAGAGTTATCTCTTGTATGCATAAGTTATTCTTTACCCTTAGAATTTTACCATAGCTCAGTCATCTTTTCAATGAGAGAATCCCTTAAAACACCTAACCAGTTCAAAAAAACAAATAGGATCATATTTATCTCATGACTTTGTCCTTGAAGCCAAATTATAGCACTTGCATTTGCATAAGCATGATTCACTTTTTTGAGAATTAATGAATGTTAAAAAGGTTGAGTGATTTGTTTGCTTGTGTAGATTGATAACTTGAAAGTTATTTCCATATTGTGATGAGTGTGGCTAAGTTCTTAGATTAAAGTTATATCAAGTGCATCTTAAAATTGCAAACATGGACATTGGTTTGATCTTACAATATCATTTTCAGATATGAGTTCCTATTTTGAAACTTCTCTTCCACCTTGTTCATTTTGATTGCTTGAGGGCAAGCAAAGAGCTAAGTGTGGGGGAGTTGATAATATGCATTATTACATCATATTAGGCACCATTTAGTATAGGTTTTCACTTCATTTTGTCCATTTTTAGTCCAAAGTGTCTTATTTACATCCATTTTAAACATAGCATGCATATAGATTAGGAATGCATATATACTTGCATTTTTAGTGTATTTCAAGGCATTTTAGGAGTTAAGAGAGGCACTAGGAGAATGGTGGATCACGTGGAGAGGAGAAACCATGCTGGAAACAAGTCTTTCTAACCGTTTAGAGTTCACACCGTGGACGTACATCGTGGAGGGCACTGTCTATTCTGCCCGGTGCATACCATGTCTGAAGGGTGATGATAGACATGCTGAACCAGAGGCTGCATCGAGCAACCACACCACGGAGATTCAGCTATCCGAGCCCGATGAATGAAGGCACATGACATAACGTGGAGGTACACTGAGGAGGGCGATCTGAGCTGTGCACGATGCGTACCACAGTCGAGACTTCAGGCGAGCCAAACATCTAACGCAGCATCTTCAGCACGCAACGAGCAAGCACACCATGGAGAGCCAAATCTTCCATGCTCAATATGAGTAATCCGATGTTGACTAGCGAGTTAAAAATTTATTGACTAAGTTTTATTAGTTGACCAAGCCTATTTTCAGACTATCCTATAAATAGACTTGGCCTAAAAACATCTTATCTTATGTTTTATCTTATCATTTTCCATTCAAAACTTTCCTTTATTGCAAAAACTTCTCTTTTCCCTCAAGAACAAAGTTTAGATTTTGAGGTTTCTATTTAATAAATTTTTGCATTTGTCTATTGGTTCTTCTTTCTTATTCATCATTAATCATGTTTAACAATACTTTTGTGGATTTAAACATGATTATTGAGTAGCCAACTTTAGGTTTGAGATAAAGGTAGATTAGGGTGGTTTCAATGATTTTTTAAGGTGCTGGGGTGTTAGATCATTGTTTATCTCTTCTTATGTAATTTTTCTTAATGCCAAGTATCTCCCTTTAGTCTGAAATAGATAATAGACATTTTGTTTCCACTTAGGTGTTTGATGAAATATTTGAAAGAAGTTCATTGCTTGAAAATGGTGTTTTGATTGTCATGACTCATTGTGTCTATCATTTCTTGCATGATTAAGCTTAATGCTAGAGTACTTAAGGGATGGAGAAATCGCCATTAGACATTGATTATGCATGGGAGTGTGAGTTGATGTTTGATCCATCGCACAAGATATTAGTTTTTTTAGCCTAAGGGATTAGGTGTCTAATGTACTTTTTGGCTCTATGGACTTTGTTAATTAATGCTTGCTGATTATGTTTCCACTATAGAAAGTGGGTTAGGAGTACGATTAGTAAATGGATTAGTGCTAAGGGATTGAATTAGTCTAAATTGGTACTCCTTACTTAGAGAGTAATGCACTGATTATTTCTGCTTCACCTTGAACATGATTTGGAACCACCCAAGTCATATTGCCTTAGTCTTAGGCCTTGCCTTTTAATAATTCGAATTTGCTTAGTACTTGCTCTGTTTTGCTCTGTTTTGTTTGCTCATAGTATTGCTCTTGCTTAATTTTAAATTGTTGGTCTTTAGTATTTGTGTTTTGGTTGATTTGGTTACATGTTTGCACTTGCTTGATTGTTGAGTGTGAACCACTTTTGAACCCCGTTATTAGCCTAGATTAGTAAGATAGTTGTATCTTCTCTACATCTCCCAAGCATAGATTGATTACTCTTTGCTTCTATACTACAAGTAGTGCATAACGATTGCACTAAGCAGTCCTGAAAACCTGTTTGTCAGTATTCCAATCAAGACTTGGGAATCTTCAGCTACAAAGTTTATTGTTTCTAACTTTGTGTTCGAGAATATTAAAATAATTAATGTTGGAAAACCAATCAACATCGATCAGAAGTATTGTCCTCACCCACCTTGTGAAAAGAAGGTTTGCTTTCTTCATAAGAAAATAGTTTATTTTACTTTACTTGCATCCCACTAACATACATAATCAAAGAAAGAAATATGTGTTATGTTATTCTTTCAGGGAGATTCTCACGTTCAGATACAAGTCCTTAAGTTAAAGAACATATATGGAACATCGAAGAACAAAGTGGCAGTGAACCTACAATGCAGCAAGAGTTCCGTGCAAGAATGTATAGCTGATTGACATTAACCTAGAGCATAATGGAGTCTAGGATGTTCCTTCCACTGCAGTGTGTGAGAATGTTGACAGTTCTGCTCATGGTAAGATGGTTCCCTAACATTGTATGGATTGATTGGACGGTAGGGATCAATGACCGAATGTTGTATTTGATGTTTTCATATTTGTATAATTTCTCACTTTTTGTATAGGTACGTACATTTCTTCTTCTTTTGTTAGTTTGAGAAAAAACATTTGTAGTACAATAAAGATCTCAAGGCACTTTTTTGTGGTTTATATTTTGTTTCCGACAATAACACTACTCATCATGCAAAAAAATATATTTCAAAAGGATATCTAGATTGGGTTAAAGACATTTAATTTACTTACAACTTGAAGAGGATAATCAGTACAAATAATAAACACATATTTTAATTTTTTATTATCATATGTCCAGTATAAACCTTACATAATGTTTTGACGAAAATCTACCTCCTTGATCAACTAATATCAATTTGATGAATTTTTTATTATTCATATAGTATTTCTACATAAAAAATATTATTGTTTAACATATTAAATACTTATTTGTGTTTATATAGATGATATGTGTCAGAAACAGACAAGTTATGAAAAAATCTATATATAAGACTAAATAAATCTTTTTTCTTTGCAAATATTAAGTTTTCTTTGATATACATCAAAGATTGCTAGTTTTCTTGTAAATACAATCATTCATTAACAACTCTCATATGATATTGACATATATATAGCCATAGGTGTTATGCGGTGATTAAAGTGATACTTATACATATGTAAATAGAAAAAATACTAAATTAACCAACATACATAGGATAATTGATGAAACATTTAATTGTCATATACTACGATTTTTATGTATTTATACGTATGTCACATTGGCAACATATCTAATTGGTTGATTGATATTAGCATTATGGTTTTAATTTGTTATCATTTTACTTGATTATGACTTATTGTTGTATAGATGTCATATAAATGGAATTATTTCAAAACAAAGCATTAACATAACCAAGTTTAACAAGTTTACTGGTAATTTAACTGACCTTTCACTAAAACTACGATTCTATTTTAAAAAGAGAGAACAATGTTAAATTATATACATTTGAATATCTAGATTATAAAAAATTTACCAATCAAAATCATTATAAAAGAAACAAGTCAATTTTTAACTGATAATTAGTAATAAAAATCAAGTTATATTCTATATAAAATCTAACAATCAATCCATACATAAGAAGAAAAAGTGGGCACACACTTCTCATTCTTAGAACAAGCATTTATAAATCTCCTACACATTTGTAATTTCAATATACTCGGCCTTAAACAAAATAAGAAAATAATTTGCATTGCTTCAGCATTTAAAGCTTTGTGTTTGTCTCTGTTGTTCGTCACTGTACTCGTCCAACCAATAGGCTAAAGATTTTCAATGTCAAACATTATGGTGGTAAACCTAACGGAAAAACTGATAATGCAAATGTACATACATGACAAATATAGAAGCATAATATGTGTATATATATATATATGATTAACTTATCTGCTAATTCTCAATGTGTATACTATTAGGCCTTCGAAAAGGTATGGAAAAGTGCATGCGGAAGGATGAGTGAAAGTAGTAAAATATACGTACCAACAAGAACATTCTATCTTGGTGGTGTAGAGTTCGTGGGGCGATGCAAAAATTTGAGTTTATCATTAATGGAACTTTATTGACTCCTGCAAACCCTAGGGACATTAAGAAGGACACATGAATCAACTTTAGATACATAAATTATCTCTATATCTCATGTGCCGGTACACTCGGCAGCCAAGGAAAGCAGTCTTGGCTACTCAATGACTACCACAAAAACACTTGAAGTAGAATTTCCAAGAATGTGTTGAAGACTTCTCACTAGACAAGAAGTTCTCAGCCAACTTATGCTCCACAATGATCTGGACCTTATCAACAAACAGCACTATCAAGCGCTCATTCGAATCTAAATCTACCAACAACCCACCACCAAGTACTACAACTCCAACGTGAGAAGCCGGCGATTCAACGAGAGGCCTTGTCCTCCAGAAATTTTTCTAGAACACCGCTGAGAGAAATGCTGGCAAACTGGGGGCTAACTGGGAAGGATCCTATCGAATCACCAAGGTTGTCTGACCAGGAGTTTACGAACTCATCAACAACGCAACCAATGTCCCAGTCCCATGATCCTGGAATGCAATACACTTGAAAAAGTAATAATTATGAGTACATCTCTCATCACCATGAACTATGGGATGGTTTGATCCCTGAATGGGGTACATAGGCGGATCAGTAGCTGGCTCATTAGTTGCAGCAGTGGCACTCAATCTCGACCCCTTGGTCCCAATGGACGAGCTAGCTTTTTCCTCCGCAGCCATTTTCTTTCATAGCTTGCTTGTCTCGGGTGGTCAGCTTAATCGCCATCTTGATTCGTGGATCGATGTCTGGAGAGAGAAGATTCTGAGCTATCTAATTTTAAGCCAAAGTGAATGGCTCAGGCATGCTCGATTAATTGAAGAGAAAAACTCCTCATCTAGTGAACTCTCCTCCTCAAGAAGATCTTGATAATGGCTGACAAATCCTCTGGAATCCAAATCATGAGCTGATGAACTGCAAACAACAAAGATAAGAAATATACAATATTAACCTCGAAGGTGGCTCGAATCTCAAACCTCTAAATCTTGAATCGGTGCAGCTACCAATTTGTCCCCATTTTGTCTTGACTTTTCCAACCCAAGCATTATCAACCGAAGTGTTGTTGACGAGGACCTAAACGAACTGACTCTCCCAATCTGGATCGTTACCTGGGAACCCGTGGAGAAGCCTTCTATCTTTCTTGTTGCTAATATTATACACCTCAGATTTCGGCTTCTTTCAGATTTCCAGAAAATTCAGGAGATGGTCCATAGAGAGCTCGATGTCACACTCATAGCTTAACACCACCAGACCGACGAGATGACCCAGGATTTGAGGAGTTTCTTGGGCCAAAGCCAATCCATACTTCCATAAATACCGCATGATCAACTCTGAGATCGGGTACCATAACAAGCTCATATAGAAGAAGCTCTCATACACGGTAAAGTGGTTCGGAGGCAAACTATCTGCTCGGTCCACCGAGGTGGGCAATACAAATTCAACTGCCTTGGTGACGCTTAAGTGGACCCTCAAGTCTAATAAGCTATATACTGTAGAAAGGTTAGATGTGGATCAGCTATCTTCTTCTTTGCAGCTCGTTGCTTTGATGTTCCTTCTCTCTTAGCCTATATCAAGAGATCTAATTCTCTTCTCGCCTTGACAGGATCAAATTCAAGTCTTCCTCCTTGGGCTTTACCTCGAAAAGCTTGGCAAGGGGTAGATGAGCTGGATCGTTAATAGTATGATCTGAGCCATTCGCCTCAGTACCAAAAGAGTTCATGAGTCTTTGAAACACTTGAAGGGCCAACACAAGCTGAACAAACGTCATGCATGTTGGGTAGAATTCATTGAGACATTCCCTTATGCCATCAAGTACAAGCAAGGTAAGAAAAATGTTACTTGTTAAAGAAGCTCATGGAGGAGGTTTAATAGAATATTTTTAAGTTGCCAAAATACTAAGTGTTATGCATGATCATTTCTACTGGCTGCATATGAAGAGAGGCGTGGAAAGGATTCATGGTAGATGTGTCACTTGCAACCAAGCTAAGTTTAAAGTGCAACCCCACATTTTGTATATGATAGACATCATATTTACTGCATTTTAGCATGTATATTCGTATGCTTTTATGTCTTTCTCTTGAATTCATTCACATTTTAGGTCCCTTTTGGATTCATTGTAGAGTTAGTGAGTCTCATACTAGGCATTGTATATTATGTGCACTTTGGAGTGTATTTCAAGTACATTTGAGGCTTAGAAGGATCACTGGACTCTTGGGGATCAAGCTGAAGCAATGAGGAGCACTCAAAGGAGCTGAAGAAGTTTCAAGGATTTGTATCGAGGTGGATATCGAGCTGCTGCTCTATACGAAAGTAGAAAATACTTGTATCAACGTCTGTATCGGGCATCACCCTGATACATAAGAACCAGTGAAAATAGCATTCTGTTGCACCTCAGTATCGGTGACTTGTATCGACGTGCAAGCCAATATCAGAAGAGGGAAAACTGCATCAATGTGGCGTATCGAGGACATGGCCGATATCAACCTCCTTCCCAGCCTACTTTGACTTTGGTCAACGCTCGGATTCAACCTTTGACCAAGATTTGACCCTTTAACTATATAAGCAAAACCTTATCTTATCTTTTTAGCAAGAAATCTGATCCTTAATCTCTCTCTCTCTCTCTCTCTCTCTCTCTCTCTCTCTCTCTCTCTCTCTCTCTCTCTCTCTCTCTCTCTCTCTCTCTCTCTCTCTCTCTCTCTCTCTCTTTTGAGTAATTTTCTGGTTTTTAGTATTTTGTAAGCAACAATTTGAAGTTTTAGTAATATCTTGCATTTCTTGTTATTGATCTTCTATCTACTGCTTTTGATCATGTTTTTCTTCAACATTTGTCTAGATTTTGATAGTCAATCATGGTTTGTGAGTAGTCTTTTCGGATTTAAGGATGGATTAGATTTAGGATGAACCAAGGCTTATAACTTGATATTTATGTGTAGATGATGTAGATCCTTCACTATTTGGTGTTCTTAATGCTTGTCTTGCCCTGATCATGTGAGATTCAAAATTAGTCTTTCTCTGCATCAAAAGTGTTTGTTGCAATGCATGAACCAACCTTTTAGTGGATTTTCTTACCTTGCACATGATAATGAATGATTAGGAAGTTTATTGGCTCTGTAGAACTGTTTCTTTATGTTTGATTGTGTCCTGATCACTAATGAGAATTAGATTCTGATTAGGTTGCTTTCATAGGAATCATTGTCATGAGAGTGGATTGATTACATGTTTTGAGTTCTATGCTAAAGGATCATGCATGCATTGATTGTTTGAACAATTTGTTTGAGGCCAAGGTTCAATAACCCCATCCTAGAACCCTATTTGTTATAATTCGAATTTTCCATGTATATTTGCTCTATTTTGCTTGGTTTTGCTCTATTATTTCTTCTGTTTCTTAGACTTGAA